GGCAGGCGATTGTGACAGACGGTATTGAGAGAGCTTGTAAAGTATGCCTTGTATTAGTAGCAGCTTTCAAAGGGAGCATCTCGTGCGCAAATGAGGTTGTCGACTGGCTCAAGTCCGTCTTTTGAGCGGATCAACGAAAAGTGTTCTTAATGGTCGGAAAAGGAAGTTCAAGTTGGCCGCTCGGGATTACACACGGACGGAGTTGAGTGCATTCATCTGTTACTCTCCCAGCTCACTTCCGCTACAACCTCGGTGTCAATAAGCAGTCAACCTGATAGGAACGCATTCAAACGTGTCGTCTAAAAGAGTCAAATTGTCAGTCGACTATCGCTGTCGACTGTTAATCGATACTACGTCTGGCAGAAGGCCAACTAAGTAGGGGTGTTTAGAATTCAAGGAAATTGAGTGAGGCACCATAAAAGCAGTATTGAAAGTGTCACCATTTCCTCTGATCTAGTGATTAAGACAAAATTATTTCAGAAAAATGATTTATCTATCTATCTGTCTATCTATCTATCTCATTCTGCTCATATCTATCTTATAAGATATCTTTTTTGTCTGTCTATGTCGGTTTGTAACTATCTATTTATCTCAATCTGTTCAAATATATCTATCTCAACATATTCCTATCAGTCTGTGATTATCGATTTATATATATATATATATATATATATATATATATATATATATATATATATATATATATATATCATAGTATTGCTATCTATCTATCTATATATATATATATATATCGATTCTCCCGTCGGGTTCGACGTATGAGGGTCAAGCAGATCAGTTTCCAGGAAACCGACAGCCCGACACCTGCACATGAGATTTGATTATAGTGGTGAAGGTTTCGTGCAGGACCATCCACACTTTTTGAAGGGACGAATACAGAGACCTGGTGCACCGAATGCCACAAGGTTCCCAAACGACCCTCCGCAGGTTTTTGAATTCAGAGTTGTCCTTCTCCTAGACCAGCTGCCATCCAAGGATATAGAACCCAGTGTGTTCTGCTATTTTACCCATAGCTGAAGGGAGAAGAAGAGGATCCACACCTTTCCCAAGGGTATCATAGTATTGCTATATATCTATCTATCTATCTGCCTGTCTATGTTTGTTTCTATATATCTCAATCTGTTCAAATATATCTATCTCAGCATATTCATATTAGTCTGTGATTATCGATTTATCTATATATCATATATATATGTATATATATATGTGCGTATATATATATATACATACATATATCTCATAGTATTGCTATCTATCTGCCTATGTTTGTTTCTATATATCTATATAACACAGTCTATATCCGTCCATCTTAGCATATTTATATCTAATTATCAATCTGTTTATCTATCTATCAATCTAGCTATGTATCATAATCTTTTCACATATACATTTATCTGTCTGTTTATATCCATCTATATGCTTGAGTGCCTAGTCATACAAACGCTCACACAAGCATATATATATATATATATATATCTCATCCACTTCATTATCTATCTATCTATCTATCTATCTATCTCTCTCTCTCTCTCTCTATATATATATATATATATATATATATATATATATATATATATATATATATATATATATATATATATATATATATATATGTTCATATCTACAGGCTGTTTCAAAAGTCCCTCTCACATTACAACACTGTATATCTTAATAACTATTAAGAATATCAAAACACAGTTTATATTTCCTGAAAGCTAATAATTCCACGTTTCTGTACTGTACAGGATTTTACAGGTGTTCAAATGTAAGCGCCGCGGGTTACATGACACACATTTAAACGATAATCCAATTGTTGCCAAAGGCGACCAAGCATCGAGTTGTCGATAATTGCCAAGGCTTCAGTTATCCACATCTTCAGATCATCCAAGTCTCGGAGAAGTAAGTGGGTGCATAAAGGAAGAAGTCATATGGTATGAGGTTTGGAGACCTACGTGGCTATTTCAGGAACAAGCGATCGGTCTGTCTGGAACGTGTGATATTCAAAAATTTAATTTTAATTACATTAAAATTGAATAAAGAAGACAATTTGACACTTTTAGTTTAAAAATGGTACCAATTCAATCATGATACCATTTATACATGAAGAATGTGACATCGAAGTTTGAAACACCGTGAAGAGTTCTTAGAATGTGACATAGACTTTTGAAACACCGTGAAGGGTTCGTAGAATGTAACATAGACTTTTGAAACACCCTGAAGAGTTCTTAGAATGGGACATAGACTTTTGAAACACCCTGAAAAGTTCTTAGAATGTGACATAGACTTTTGAAACACCCTGAAGTGTTCTTAGAATGTGACATAGACTGTTGAAACACCCTGAAGAGTTCTTAGAATGTGACATAGACTTTTGAAACATCCTGAAGAGTTCTTAGAATGTGACATAGACTTTTGAAACACCCTGAAGAGTTCTTAGAATGTGACATAGACTTTTGAAACACCCTGAAGAGTTCTTAGAATGTGACATAGACTTTTGAAACACCCTGAAGAGTTCTTAGAATGTGACATAGACTTTGAAACACCCTGAAGAGTTCTTAGAATGTGACATAGACTTTTTGAAACACCCTGAAGAGTTCTTAGAATGTGACATAGACTTTTGAAACACCCTGAAGAGTTCTTAGAATGTGACATAGACTTTTGAAACACCCTGAAGAGTTCTTAGAATGTGACATAGACTTTTGAAACACCCTAAAGAGTTCTTAGAATGTGACATAGACTTTTGAAACACCCTGAAGAGTTCTTAGAATGTGACATAGACTTTTTGAAACACCCTGAAAAGTTCTTAGAATGTGACATAGACTTTTGAAACACCCTGAAGAGTTCTTAGAATGTGACATAGACTTTTTGAAACACCCTGAAGAGTTCTAGAATGTGACATAGACTTTTGAAACACCCTGAAGAGTTCTTAGAATGTGACATAGACTTTTGAAACACCTTGAAGAGTTCTTAGAATGTGACATAGACTTTGAAACTTTTGAAACCCTGAAGAGTTCTTAGAATGTGACATAGACTTTTGAAACACCCTGAAGTGTTCTTAGAATGTGACATAGACTTTTGAAACACCCTGAAGAGTTCTTAGAATGTGACATAGACTTTTGAAACACCCTGAAGTGTTCTTAGAATGTGACATAGACTTTTGAAACACCATGAAGAGTTCTTAGAATGTGACATAGACTTTTGAAACACCCTGAAAAGTTCTTAGAATGTGACATAGACTTTTGAAACACCTTTTGAAGTGTTCTTAGAATGTGACATAGACTTTTGAAACACCCTGAAAGAGTTCTTAGAATGTGACATAGACTTTTGAAACACTTTTTGAAGAAAGTTCTTAGAATGTGACATAGACTTTTGAAACACCCTGAAAAGTTCTTAGAATGTGACATAGACTTTTGAAACATCCTGAAGAGTTCTTAGAATG